AAAAATAAGAACCACACAACCAACAACGTCCCCAGCACTGGGTGGCCAGGTCGGTGTCCAAAAACCCAGCCTGTGCCGATGTCCACAAGAACATGACGTCATACTGGCGATCTGTCAGCCCTGGCCTCAAGACGCTGGACGCAGATTTCAGGAGGATGAACCTGGCCTCGGAGTGAGTCTCTCTGTCTTGTTATAGGCGGTGCTCATTGGAGGATCGGTTCGGATCGGTTTTCTTTTTTTTTTTCAATTTTATCGGGTATGTCGGTTTTGTCAGTTTCATTGGTTAAATTAGTTTTATCGGTTTTGTCGATTTTCTCGGTTTTGTTGAATTTATCGATTTTATCGGTTTTGTCAGTTTCTTTGGTTAAATTAGTTTTATCGGTTTTGTCAGTTTCTTTGGTTAAATTAGTTTTATCGGTTTTGTTGGGTTTTTTTGTGTGGTTTTGTTGATTTTATTGGTTTTGTCAGTTTTATTGGTTTTGTTGAATTTATCGGTTTTGTTGTATATATCGGTTTTGTCGATTTTCTTGGTTTTGTTGAATTTATTGGTTTTGTTGAATTTATCGGTTTTGTCGGTTTTTATCGGTTTAATTGGTATCGTTGAATTTATCGGATTGGGGCTGGCCCCCACAGGAGAAACAAAGCAAACAAAACCGACATTACCGACAAAACCGACAAAACAAAGCCGATGACGACCTTCAATAAAGACCGTTCGTTTTCAAGGCTGAGCGTCGTGAGTCGGTTTGGGCTCTGGGTCTATTTATAGTGTGCACTGAAGCCAACAGAAACCGAACCGACCCGAACCGATCCGATCCTCCAATGGGCACCGCATACTAGTTTTAGTGAGAGTTTTGTGGCAGGTGCAAACACAATTGAAGGGGTCATTTCAATAACGTGCCTAAGTCAATTTTTCAGCGAAAATGGAGATTTTTGAATAGTTATGTTTAGTTTTAGTAGAGGTTTTGCGGCACTCGCAACTGCATAAGGTCATACGAGCGCCAGAAGATTTGAGGTGTTACAAGAGAGTAACAAACATAAAAAAGAAGGAGGGGAGATAAGGGCGATAGATGTTTGATAGGAAAGAAGAAGCAAACCACACCAGAGCACCCGCCAACCACCCACGTTTTTGAATAGGATGATAAAAGAAAGGGGACTGCACCCTGTCAGCCTTTGTGGGGACTGTATCTTTGATTTTCAGAGCTACGTCCTATGTTTTATCTCGCCTTTCCCAGTGCAATACTATATGAACGAGAAACAGTTTTTGGCCTTTTTCTCAAAACTTCCCTAGTGTGACGTAGGCACGTTATTGAAATAACCCCTTCAATTAGATCATAATGCAAGTGCCAAAAATTTGATTGTTTTAGTCAGCGTTTTATGCATGGCATTTGCAGCACGATTAGGCCATATAAGCGCCGAAGATTAGAGGCGTTACACAAGAGAGTTTTTCGTTTTAGTAAAAGTTTTACAGCACTTGCAACACGATTAGGCCATACAAGGGCCGAAGATTAGATGAGTTACACCAGAGAGTTTTTAGTTTTGGTAAAAGTTTTACAGCACTTGCAACACGATTAGGCCATACAAGGGCCGAAGATTAGATGAGTTACACAAGAGAGTTTTTAGTTTTAGTAAAAGTTTTACAGCACTTGCAACACGATTAGGCCATATAAGCGCCGAAGATTAGAGGAGTTACACAAGAGAGTTTTTAGTTTTAGTAAAAGTTTTACAGCACTTGCAACACGATTAGGCCATATAAGCGCCGAAGATTAGAGGAGTTACACAAGAGAGTTTTTAGTTTTAGTAAAAGTTTTACAGCACTTGCCGCATAATTAGGTCATATGAGTGCCGAAAATTAGATTGTTTTAGTAACAGTTTTACGGCACTTGGAACGCTTGTAAATTGAATTATTACCTTTACAAAATCACGTTGATGTTGGTGTGAAATAAACCTTTCCCTTACCAACACCTCCTAGTTGTGGAGCCTTCAACGACCAGCGTCTCATGGCCTTTGCGCCCAGTGACCTCCTGTCTCCATGGGAACGGGACTACCTCAGCCAGCCTGTGTTTGACGACATGAAGGACACCGCCTGGGCCACCTTATCGGAGGTGGACGCTGTAACCGAGGGGCCTTTTTTTGTTGGGGACACTGTGCAGTTTAGGGTGTGTGGTCATTGCAGGTCTTATATGGTGTATGTGTGTTCTTTGTCTCGGTTTCTGTCTCTGTCTCTGTCTCTGTCTGTCTGTCTGTCTGTCTGTCTGTCTGTCGGTCGATCTGTCTGTCTGTCTATCTATCTATCACCATCTCTCTCTCTACCTATCTATCTATCTCCCTATTCATATCTCTACACCCTCACTTTCTCTCCCTCTCTCTCTCTCTCTCT